TCTCTCTCTCTCTCTCTCTCTCTCTCTCTCTCTCTCTCTCTCTCTCTTTCTCGTCAGTTCTTAAATTTCTTTGCTGTTTGTTGTTAAATAGAGGTTCATATTAATCTTTTGGGAATTTGTGAAAAATCCTAAATGAATAACTAGCAAGTTTGAATCTCTGCATAAAGCAGAAGCCAAAGATTGTCAGAGTTTCGATGTCCCACCAGGCAAAGAGCAACAATTTTCACTGACAATCAGGACAGAACAGATGGATATAGAATAGCAATCTGGAATGAAAAGACTGAGATCAGTGACAGCAAGACTAATAACATCAAATAACAATTGAAAAGAGAGGCTAGGGCAGATCTACAAAAAGAAAGAGCAAGCAAATAGGACCAAACTGCTGCATGAGGAGTGAACAGAAAAACATATAAAAACATATAAAAATGATCAGAAATTACTGAAAAAAAAAAGGACTTTCAGTTTTACAATGGCAAACAGGTTATTTAACCAAGGAAAGCAGTATTTCTGAATCTGGCATTACTTGTACTATTTCATACATTACTTGTACTATCGTGTCATATCTTTCTGGAAGCAAAGTCTTAAAATTAATGAAAGTTTTTCTACTTCACAATAAGTTAAAATGCTGCAGGTGCTCAAAAATATCATTATACTGAAACATTTAATGCCCTAAATCTAATCAGATGAAAGAAATTTGAAAGTGCTATTCTATTCAAAATTATGAAATGAAGCATTCATTATTTTATAAAATAAGCATTTTATCATAAAATAAAATCCAGGAGACTTAGTGTATATATGCATCCCAGAAACGAGCTTATTTTAATAGCACATGTTTGGCATATCATGACAATTAAGAAAAAGAAGGACAAACATATTCCCATACATAGATACATGTGTATACAAACACACATAACTGACTCCAAATGCTTGTTTATATGGATTTGAAACAATCCTCACTATTTTTTTTTGGAGGTGTGGGGGGTTACCAGGGATTGAACTCAGGGGCACTCAACCACTGAGCCACATTTCCAATCCTATTTTGTATTTTATTAGAGACAGGGTTTCACTGAATACTTGATGCCTTGTCATTGCTGAGGCTAGATTTGAACTGGCAATCCTCCTGTCTCAGCCTCTGGAGCCACTGGGATTACAGGCTTGTGCCACTGCACACGGCCTAATCCTCACTATTTAATCTTCCAGGTAACTTTTAAAGCCAGTTCATGGCCTTGTAGTTAGTAGTACTGGCCAGTACATAGTAGGTGTACAACAAATATATGTAAATGAATAAATTGATCCATCAAATACTATGAAAAATTCAAATGCATAGTGTCTTGAGAAAACTATGGGTCTAAAGAATGGCTTAACACAGCAGTCTAGCTAAATTTAAAAAGTTACAAATAAAAGTAATGGATTGGGGGCTGGGGCTGTAGCTTAGGGGCAGAGCAATTGCCTGGCACATGTGAGGCACACTGAGTTTGATCCTTAGCACCACATAAAATAAAATAAAGCCATTTTTTCGATATATAACTACAAAAAAATAAAAATAATTTAAAAAAGTAATGGATTGGAAATCTGAAGGACAGGCCTTTAGTATCTACCACTTCTTACATACCGATATTTCATAAGGCACTATGCAAAGTAGTTTATACCCCTACTATTTGCTTCTAGGCTTAAATTTTCTCTTCCACAAAATAAAATGTCAGTATGTACAGGGTGATTTCCAAGCTGTTTTACACTTTAACTGTATTTTACTAAGAGAATTGTTGTGCAAAATAATGACAATGACAAAACCCCTCCTAGATATACCAATAATAATTAGTAGACAACAAAGGTGAAGAAAGTGAACTTACTTAACTGAAATGAAATACTAATTAATAAAAATAATTGTGACATACAATGAATGCAAATTCACTGACTCCAAATTTAAATGTTTCAGTTTGTTAATTGTTTAATTGTTGGTTACCCAGGGCTTAGCAACTTTAGTTTGAAACATATGACATGCCTTAGACTTTAAAAACAGTTTTCCTCATGAGGATCTCAAAGTCAGACTGAGAGATTTGGCTCAAAGACCAGCAGATTGAAATAATTTTTACCAAAAGAAGTGAAAGAATTGAAAGGCCATTGATTCAAAAGGAGAGAACAGTAGTGGTGCCTTAGTGAAGAGCCACAAATATGTGGGTTTTTAAAAATAATAACTCAGTTTAATCCTACTTTGTGTTAGTTAAAGCAGTGAAAACATAAATAGACTATTCAAGTTTGGACATTTTTTAGACACTGTTTTGTGTGAATATTTTTGAAAAAATATTATCAGTACAACCATCTCAGAGTTTCAAAGAGGGAGATATTTCCTGTGAGGATACTTATTGACTTAAAAATGTAACAGAACTGTGTCTTGTTAATCTTGTATACTTAATGCTTGGCACATAGTAGGTGTTCAATAAATATTTGATGAAATATATTGAATAGAGTGCAGTGTTTCAAGCTTTTAAGCATTAGCATAAAAGCAAAAAGAAATGCCATGCTGAGTCAGACTAAGAGTCGATCTAGCTAGCTCTAAATTTTGACAGTGGCACCAAAGGATATTTTGTGGGAAAATATGTAATAGTCTTGCATGATATTGACCTCTGAGGTGTACTCTTGGTATTATCACACTTTTCCTAGATGGATCTTTCTTTTTCTGTAAAATGATTTTTTTTTTAATTTCAGAGAAATGTATGCTCATTACAGATTTTTAAAAAGATAAAATAAACTAGTTTTAAAGTAATCAAAATTGTTCATATCAAGTTGAATAACAGTACCAGATCCTTTCTAGACAAGTATTTTAATGTGTGAGAGTGTGTATGTTTGGGGATAGGGAGAGTGCTGGTGATTCAATCCACAGGATTGAATGCTGTGCTCTACCATGGAGCTACAACACCAAGTCTCCCAGTACTTCTTCTTTTTTTTTTTTTTTTCAGTGATGGAAATTAAATCCAGGCAAGCAATCTATCACTGAGCCATGTCCACAGCCCTTGGGATATTTTCCATTGTGTATCTTTCCAGATAGTTTTTTTTTTTTATTGAAGAAATTGGGGAAGTGGAATAGTTAATACAGAGAAATAGAGACATGTTTGTAAAATAAAAGAAAGATGACCTGGAAGACTTGTTCTGTAGCCACAGTTTTCTAATTAACACACTTTGTTGTCAATGAACATTTATTCTGTTTTTAACGGCTGCATGGTATCCCTTTGTATGGATACACTGAATCAGTCCTTACTGTTGGACAATGGAGATCCTTTCCAAACTTTGCTATTACGCATAGTTCTGTGACAATCACAGATTTATCTCTTGAAACATTTATAATGATTTTCTGTATTTCTGTTGACAGAGTTGGTAGGTTATGAAAAGGGGGGAATGAGAATGGAGACATTACACAAG